AAAAATCCACTAAAATGTGCTTACTGTCATGAATACAGGTAGGACACCTGTGGAATATCTTACAGAGAGCTAAAAGACAAAGCTCTTTTCCAAACTGCTTCTCATTAATTTAAAATCAGAAATTAAGTGTAAAACAGGTAAAGGAACTCGGTCATGTCCTTTCTACAGCTGCACAATCCTGTTACTGATTCCATATAGAAGTTGAGCTGTGTAAATGTTTTCTGAGGGCTGCTTTGTTCAGCAATAGAGTAATGTATTTTGGTAAGATGGAAAAGGGGAGAGAGGGAAGAAGGAAAAATAAGTTGCAGGTGGTCCCAGGAGAATGATCAAAAAATCTTAGTAGCTTGTAAAATGTGAAAGAGCAGTGAGCAATATTTCACAGCAGCACTGATCGCAGAGTAGTCATGCACAGAATCAGGTAAGAGACCTACTTCAGTCAACACATCAGGTTCACAAAGTGAATTATATGTTCACAGATTTTAAATTATTTTGGTTTCTGATAGTATGAACACCCTCATTCCTATACTTCAGTTGCTAAGAAGATGAGAAGTTTGCTGACTCTATCTCACATCAAAAGAGGTATAAAGTAGAAAAGGAAATATGACAGCTGACAGGAAGAAAGTGGATACACAGCCATCAATCACTTCAGGTCGTTAATAAGATAATGGGAATTTGTTCTGTGTGACTGCCAATGTGGACTAAAGGGAAAGATAATGAATTAATATAACTTTTGAGGTGTTTTCAATTTATTTTTTTTTTTTTCCCCAGGAATAATCATGTAGCTGAAGTATTAAACTTCTGTTGCTTTAGGTGATTTACTCACTTCTATGTTCCACCTGTTGTAATAATTCTTGTATAGAAAAAGAAAAATTACAATTCATAGGCCTCTTGTTTTGCAAAATTTATACTTACTATGCCAGACGATAAACACCAGTGAATTAAGCCTGCAGTACAAGTACATGACCTACTGACACATGAGCTATTGACAAAGGTGGGTTCTTAACTGCATGGAAGTTTGCATAAAAATGACAAGTTTTCTTCAAAGTTATACAGCTCCACTCTTCACTCTTAACTGTCAAAGTAGGGCTTTTTTAACTTTTCTAAGGTAAGCCACTTTTTTCTACACAGCTCCTGGGTAACATGGCAAACCTCTCTTCTCTATTAAAAAAGTGGTTGGAATTATTTGGGAAGCCTTCTGCGGAAATTATTTATAGTGAAAAATATTTTGCAACCTGTGACTGTCCTGCAGTGGACAGGATGAGCTCTGATCTAGGCAGAAGTAGAGGAATTATGACTAAGTGTAGCAGCATAGTAAGTGGAAATTAAATTTTTAAATGCATAGGTTTTATTGTAAACACATAAGTAATACCCAAGAAATAGTTTTGGTTTTTTTTGGCTCTCAAAAATCAAACATATCAATAAGTAATTATGTGACTGAAGTTTCTATCAAGTTCTTATTTTACAAGGATTGCCAAAATTGAAAGCAGTTATTTAAAAAAAATTGGTTATTTTTTTCCTTAATAACTTGATTTGTCTCTTTAAAACAAAATACTATTTATTCATGCAGACAGTAGGGATGCATTAAAAGGTCAGAAATGTCACGCTATTTCCACTGCTGATTAACAACAGATAATCAAATGTGTAACATAGAATTCCTTCTGAGTTATTACTATACTGGAAAGCACCATTCATAAATTCAACAGACTAGAAAAAGCATGATTAAAGTGTCCAGAATGAACATATGTCAAATACATAATCTACTAGCTGAAACAGAGGCTAAGGCAGACTTTCAGCTGAATTTTGTGCTTGCGTTCAAAATCTGCTACTGCTCTCTAAATATATAAGTAGCACATGCTTTCCAGGGATAGTGCACAGCAAAATAATTTCCGGTTTCTTTCACATAACTGTATTATATGTTGTAAAAACCTTCTTATGGGTACTCAGTTTTACCATATTAGATATCTGACTCTCTCACTGTCTGCTGTGTATGAAACCTGTGACATATAGGACATAATGATATATGTGGGGTGAGGTGGGTGTCAAAATCTGTGTCATATAACAAACTGTTTCATGGCTAAGACATTATAGTCACAGGCCAAGAAACATTGATTGAAACACTTGAATGGGCAAATTTTTTTATTTCACAACTCCAGCTACCAAACAAATCAACTTTTTCTAACTGTCCAGTTACTTAACTAAATACATTTAAAAACAGTTACGAACTTCTTCAGGAAAAAGCAGCAAAGAAAGCAAAGGACAGAATATATATGACGAACATAACGACTTTTTTCCTAACTCACATCTTGCTGTGATAGGAATATATAAAAAGATGGCATAATAGCACTGCCAGTGTGATTGCACACACATTAATGGTTATAATAATAAACCAGTTACTGATTGCTGGTTTTAGAGCTAGCGTGAGACACCACTGAAACTTTTCTCTCCCTGTTTTTGTGTTTCTCTATCTGTTACTCATTAGAGGCTGAAATAGTTACACAGTTGCCAACTCCTGTACTTTAAATCTCCCAAGCTTTTCTTCCAAGATTGTTTAAACAACACTTTCAATCTTTCTATAACCAGACAGGTACAGTTTCTGCTTGTTACTAGGAAATCTAGTTACAGCTCCTCGGTTTACTGAAGAGTGACATAGCTGTGGAAATCCTGGAGCCTTTTCCATTTTACTTGGATTGTGATGCAGAAGGAGCACATCATTATGTACATCCAGATTTGCAAATGAATTGAGAAAACAAAATTAAAAAGTTTCCCTAGAGCTTTCTGTGTGGGTAGGGTAGTTAAGTGATCTAGTGCTGAGTGTTCAACTTTGACACTCCACGATCAGGAAACTTCTGATGACTTTTGACCCTTGTAGTTCAAATTTCTCATTCAATTTTGTGTGCAATGAACCGCTCAAAAACCACAAAGAAGGGGATAATAGATCACGATGACTGTATCTTTCTGTAGCATCACCTTATTAATGATGGCTAAAAGTGTTAGGAAATCTACAACCTAAGGCAGTTTTGGTGGTCTGTGACTGAAAATGCAATAATATTTTAGGTCAGGACTGAAAGGTACTTGGCAATCATAGTGGGGAAACACGTGCTATTTCATTCTGTGGTTTATCGTACCCTGAATACTGTTACTGATCCATTTTCAGCATTAAATTCACATTCAGTTGCAAATTTGAAATCATTTAAAACATCCAAAGGAAAAGAAAGTGAGAAACTGACTTACTCAGAGTTCAATTTTTAGCTATGGAAAAGCTCTCTAAACCCAAAATTTCCATAAAGCTGCAGAAGTCATAGATACTCACAAAGGTAAAATCTCCCTCTTTAAGGGAGAGAGAGATAAAGATACAGTATCACAGCTGCCAGACTCTCCCATAGCACCATTTCCAAGAAATAATGTTATATTAAAAATGTCATATTTTCATATGCACAAACTGTACTTCTGAATACCTTCTTACTATTCTGTGAGGGTAAACCATCAGATAATTCTCAGATTATTTCTGCTTTCAAATTTTATGCATGGAGACATAGCATTTTCTAGATGAAGCAGAACCCTAACCCCCCCCCCCCCCGTGTATTCACAAATGCTGTAAATATTTTCTTTCTAAAAGGAGAAAAAATTATTGGATAAGTCCTGCAATGCCTTAAATCCCATCCTTTGCAGTCTGTGCACTCACCTTTGAGGCTGGTGGAGGTTTGCTCTCAGCAGAGAGCTTGTACATCACCCATCCAGCTTTAGCAGGGAAGATTTGTTCTGATTTTGTAAAAGCTGAGTGTGTATTTGCATGAGATGGTGATCCCTAGATTTGTCATTATACAGAAAAAGCATGAAGCAATACATTGTGGGGGGTTCATCAAGATCCATGAAAAACTGAATAGGAGAATGCAATCAGCTCTATATCTTTACATGGAGTTATACTCCTTTTCAGATTAACCGTTCCTCCCCAAGCAAAATGTGTTGGTACATAAACTAATATTAAAGCTCTCAATACAGAGGTGTAGTCTCTCAGCTGCTGCCTTCAGTAGCAGGATGTTTAGGGACATTTCAAGAAGCAAACAAATGAGATGCCCTGATTACTTTCTCTACAGGTTTACAGCCATATGGTTAGGCCAGGAAAAGGAGAGCTATTACAAAAACTTTTCATTATTAAAACCTGTTATATTTGTTACATAATATAATAGAATCATAGAATGGTTTTGATTGGAAGGGACCTTAAAGACCTCTAAGTTCCCTCTAAGTTCCAATCCCCTTGCCATGAGCAGGGACAGCTTCCACTAGCTCAGGTTGCCAAAATCCCCATCCAACCTGGCCTGGAACACTTCCAGGAATGAGGCAGCCATAGCTTCTCTAGCATCCTGTGCCAGAGCCCCACCACCCTCACAGTAAAGAAATACTACAATGAGAGTACTTTGGTAAGTCTAAACTGAAGTATTTCTGACCCAAGTTCAGCTATGCTGAACTGCTTCTTTCAGCAGTGCTTTATCTGGAATTTATTGTTGGTTTTTTTCACATTAGATTTCTCATGTAAATGAAAAATCACATTTTAGTTGCAGTGTGGTGACAAACAACTGGTTCTCATTTTGAATGTATGTGAAGACATTCTTAACTGTGAAGTGATAATCAGTGATCTGTGAAATTAATGTTCATTAGGCCGGTCACTTGGGTTTCTAGAAAAGGTACACGTTTTACATAACTGTTAATTATTTTTAAACATAAGCAAAAAAAGACAAAATATATAAAAAACGATTATCTCACAGATGATGTTTTCTATGGAAAAATGAGAAGCACAGAACATGTTCACTCTTTATGATCTGTTCAACTGATAAACAATTAATGTAGGTAATGTCTGAATTATCAAACAAATGGAATGAGGGGTCCTTTCAATATAATCTGTATATTATTCTTTTACTGTGGCAAAAATTATGAGAACTGGGTAAAGTATGAGAAGCCTCTTAAAAGGAACAGTAACTGCAGACACCTTTAAAAGTACTTACATCGCTTTCATGGCCTTCTCTTAGATTGTATGTGAGATCATGCTGTATGTCTTCAACAAACTTGTGAGCATACTCTGGGTAAAGGTCAAGCACTTCAAAGAGGCCTTTGAGGATAATGCATTGGAGGTCACAGTACGTTAGAGCTTTAACATCTGCATTTGTTTTAATAACTTGATCCCTAATGGATAGGTTTGCTCCAATTAAATCTCCTTTACCTAAAAGAAAATACAAACAAAAACTCTTCAAAACATGAATTTTTTACTTCTTTTTTGAACCGTAAATCTGTTTAACAGATTTGCTAAATCTTAAGTCACATTGTTACCACTGCATTGTTTAATTAATAAAATTCTAATGGATCTTTGACTAAAAGCTGTCTTTTTCGTTTTGCAGGTGCAATCTTATATGCAATTAATTGGAAGTATGAAGACTAATTTCCAGCCAGGTAAGTACTTGATTTAAGGGAGCAATCAAGTAAATACATATAAAATTAAGATTTACACTAGTAATTAATAGCAGGTGGGATTGGATTTTCAAAAAATGAACATTATGTTTCTAGCATTATTTTTTTTTATTGTAGAACAAACAGGTGTTAAGATAGCATTTTAACAATGACACAATTAAGCACAGATCATCTACTGAAATGACCCTTTTACTTAGAATTTGGATTGCAAAATATTTGCAATCTATGATAACTATGGCTGCATAGCTACACTTCATGATGTATCTTAGCTGTATAGGCCATTAACAGCTGTGTAGCTCCATGGGTCTTCTGTCAAGAAAAACAAATACGTTCTTTAACCATTATATTTTAATTCATGGGCAAGACTGCCTTAGAATACTGGATGTATTAAAACTCACAAGGGACCACATATTGAAGAACACAAAATATTTGTAATGAAAAGCTTCCACAAACATCTGATCTGAGGTATGAAGTCCAAAGAATAGTCATTGAACCAGAGGTTTTCCTCAAAAGTTAACACACATGGTCTTTGTTAAAGACCTGAACAGCGTGATGGCTTGCATTCTTGGCAAATGGGCAATATCAAACTGGGGGAAGTTGTTGATATGCTGAAGGACAAAGCTGCTATTCAGGGGGACCTCAATGAATGACAAGGGATCTAACAGAACCTCATGAAGTTCAACAAAAACAAATGCCAAGTCCTCACGTGGGATGGAAAACCTCCCTTGCAACAGTATGGGCTGGGGACTGACCAGCTGGAAAGCAACTTTCTGAAAAAGGACCTGTGGGTTTGACCATGAGTCAACAATGTGCCCTGGCAGCAGAGAAGTCCAAGAACCTCCTGTGCAACATTAACAAGCGTGCAGTAAGGAAGTCCCTACAAGTGACCCTTTCTTTCTATAAGTCACTTGTCATACAACATATGGAGCACTGTGTCCAGTTTGGAGCTTCCCAGTAAAAGACAGAATAGACATACTCAAGTGAATCCAGAAGAGGCCACCAAGATGATCAGGGACTTGAAAATATAGTGTATAATTAAAAAAATGGGTACTATTCTGCCTTAAGAAGAGAAGGCAAAGGAAAGATGTTATTGCTGCCTTCAATAGCCTAACTGAAAAGCATAGAGAAAACAGAGTTAAAATCCTCCAGCAACAAGATGTACTGAGCACAAGCTGTAACAAAAGAAACTGTGATTAGAAATCAGGAAATGAAAGTCACCATGAGGCTGGGCAAAGTGTGGGACAGGCTGCCAGAGAGGCTGTGGAATTGCTGTCCTTGGAGATGCTCAAGGCTTGCCTGGACATGGCCCTGAAGAAGCTGAGCTAGATGGGTCCTGCTTTAGGCAGGTTTAGGTTGGATGGCTTCCAGAGGTTCCTTCCAGTCTGACATTATTCTGTGATTAATAAATAATGAGTGAAGACTGTAAAGTCTAAAAAATCTACCAGCATGTGGTTCCAACTGGATATTATATGGGAAATGGTGAACTTGAAGGGTAAGTTAAATTAAGCAGCCAAACTGAAGCTGCTTAAATAAGTTGATTTTATACTTTAAAATACTACTTGCAATTTTTTGTATTTACACGGAGCTTGAACAACTTTGTCAAAAGAGCTTATCAAAAACCCAACGTAGGGAAGGATTTTCTATTGTGCTTGGAATATACATATATTAATGCTGCTTTGGGGTTTCTTAAGAATTGCTATTGGTATAAATAAGAACTTGTAATTGTTTAGGTCAACCTGGTAAATATAAATCTGATGGATGAGAATAACATTTGTCATTGCTTATCATGTGATGTAGTGCTTACATAATTAAATATAGCATAAAGCTAAGCACTTTTATGTTTTATAGAAGTATGAACAATTAAATTTATTTCATAATATTAAGCAGAGGCAATGTAAATCTACTGTGGGCTATGTAAACATGGACAAGGGAAAAATATTTCAAATTTACCAAAACAGACCTTTAAACATCTTAATTTGAAACTTTTTAGGTATACAACGTTAGTATTAACAATGCATAAATATTTCAGAAAAGCTAGAGCTGTATTTGACTGCAGTTACAATTAGATTATTGTTGTGTTTGATGAAATAATGTCAGCCTGGAAGACCAATAGATTTGATAATGCTAATGTATGGTTCTTTTAAAATGAAAATCACGTAGCAAAGGCTGTAGGTAGAATGCTGAAGTTTCATGTAGAATTACTGCAGCAGGGAAATGATTGTATCTTGAATATTGACATTCATTGCATAAACAGAATCATGTATGTTATTCTTAGCAGCTCTTTTTCATTGGAAAAGATATTTGCAAATATTTCTGCAGACACATCTGTATGTTAATGTATCTAGGACATGAAGTCAAAGTTACAGATTTATTCTCCTTGTATCTTTTGAATAACTTATGGCTAAATTTTTTTTTACAGCTCTAAAGTGTATGCTCAAAAAGTACATAACTATTGTAGTAAAACATATTTTCCTATAAAAGATATCTTAAGAGCCATTGTTGAAGCAGTAGTCTCAAGAGGAACTAAACAGCTGTACTTTATCAAAGCATTTAGTTTTATTGTTACCATATTGCTTGTTACTGAAAATGCTTCAGTAAAGAAAAACTTATCCACTAGAATTAGAATCATGACAGAATTATAAAATAGTAGACTGGGAACTGTAAGTAACCTGCATTATCAGGCAAAAACCCTGCTCTCTTGGATTTGCATCACATCAGTAACACAGTTTCTCGTAGGGACCTACATGTTTGACACATTCACCTTCTGCTGTTGTTAATTAAGTTTAAAAGATGAAGCTCCCATTTGCTGTAACAAAACATTATTTCATTGTATTATGTTAGTGTGCTTGCATTACAATTTCATTAACTTCTCTCAGCAATACACTAATCTTTTTCTTATTGTTTCCGTCGACACCATTACACAATGATGCTTTCATTAACATTTTCAGAAGTGCTTGGAAATGGAATCTTTAATGAAATCATAGTTCCAGTGGGGGCAGCTCTTGACCTTTTCCTATATTTAGGCTTCTGGTTTTTGTAAGCCATATTTTATAGCTTTTATGTTATGTGAGTCAGTGAAATCAAGGCATTCTAAAACTTCCGAATTATAAATGGGTGATGGAGTGAGGTGGACTGTCAACCTAATAGAATTAAAGATTTTTGAAACAAGAAAAGACATGTGTCGTATTTATACTCTAAAAAAAGAGCAGTCAAATGCATGTTAGTAAAAAAAAGGAAATTGAATTACAGAAGACCAGAAGCTTGCATTATCAACAATCTAGTGCAATCCCACAAAAGAGGAAGGAAAACAAAAAAGGAAATGTTATTTTTAACTCTGCTTTATAAGAATATTAAAGTTATTAGAAAAAAGAATATGTTTAAATCTAAAGAGGTATTAAAATAATAATAAAATAATTCTTTACAGTACAATTTTATATTTTCTTGTATCAAACCCTTTTATAAACATTATCTCAGACAATTCTAATCATCCTTTAGCTGAAGATAAAGGGAATTTCTTTAGTAGGTATTAAATTTAGGCCAATCACTGAAATTCACAGGTGGAGATGCTTAAACCTTGATAAGTCAAAGCAGGCATCTAGCAAACAGCTAAATGAAATTTATGAGGACAGGACTTCTGGCCTTTTGCTGTTCTAATGTACTCAGATAACTGTTTAGAGCATCAGTTAGCTTGGGGAAGGAACTTTTCGGGGACCAGAGCCAACAGTGCTCATTTTTCAACATCTGACTGTCCTGCAGGTGGTGTTGATATGAATGCATCAAAGAATGACAGTAAGCTCACATTGTTCCCTTTCTTTTGGGAGCATTAGTAGGATCACTGCCTGGCCCCTAGTTTTCATGAAAGATTTAGGAACTAATAACCAATGTCCTTTGAGGTGCCAGTGCTGTCATCAAATTTACTTGAAAGCAGAAATTTGCATCAAAAACTAGCATATACCTGCTTACATGAAAAGGAGAGTGAATAAGAAAATCTGTGTGGGAGTAAAATATTGTACAGTTAGCACTCTAACAATTGAAAGCTCCTCATGGCAAAAAATAAGTTTAAATTAAAAAATTTAGGGATATCCATAGAGTATGAATAGCCTATAAAATCAAACAGATTCTTTCTCCTCAGACTATTAGGAAACATTAACTGTTAGTAGTGAAGGTCCTCCTACACTGGAGGGCCATTATTTCTCTTTTTTAAGCTGTGATTATGAACATACCGAGAATTGCCAACACCGTGCTGTCCTTCAGGACTTCCATGGAACCTGAGCACACAAAATAGATCGCTTGCAAGGCATCACCCTGCCGGAGGAGGTATTCCCCAGGAGCACAGAAAGAGGTTTTGATATGCAGAGACAGAGACCTGAGGCAACCACGGCTAGCACACTCGAAAAGGGAGAGCTGCAGAATCTCCTTGTTCAAGTGCATGGTGATGTCTGAACGCAGCTCATCTGGGAAGTCTTTTAAGAGCTGTTCAAAAAAGAGAAGAATGAGTGAAAAAGAGAAAAAGTGTAAAATAATTTGTTTCTTCTTTTGCAGAAGCAATCTGATTTAGTAGTGCTACACATATCATACTGATACAAAGATTTCCCTTTGAATTTTCTTATTTCCTTGGTAAGACATGTATGCTATGTCTTAATAAATCATTATGACAATAAACACTGATAAATTCCAGGAAAAATATGAATAAAAGTATGTCTTTATAGTGAACCAAGAAAAAAAAATCATCAACATTTTATGTAGGAATTCCCCCAAATGCATAATTTAATCTTGTCCCAGCTTTTTTCATCTGCTAGAATACATGAGCCTATTCAGGTATATATCACTGTATACAGTAGCATATACTGAAAAGAGAATAAAAATTAACTTAATTTTGATTTTAAAATGCATAAAATTCATCAACAGGCTATATTGCTTCTTCTATGCTAAAACCATTGATAGATGAATAACTTGAAAAACTCTTTAAGTTCACTTTTTATGTGTTTTTTGTTTGTTTTGCTTGTTTGTGTTAAAAATGCAGTTTGTGGATGGGAGGCAAATCATGAAATACTGATGGTCTCTCCAAAGGCTGCTGTTGTAGTACAGCAGTCACTCAGTGTGACTAAAGGTACAGAAGGTACACAAGCTGAAGGTGATCCTTAACAAAAAACCCTAAATCTAAGTGTTTTTTTGTCTCTTTGGAAATCTCATTAGGCTCCTTCTGTTGCTAGGATGCTGCTGGGTGTCTCATTCTTTGTGCTCCACACACCACAGAAAAGAATTTATCAGAAGGAGAATGTTCTCAAAACCAAATCTTTCTGCTTATTTTGACATTATCGTTAGAGGCCACTGAGTTTATAATGACATATATAACATGAACTTTGAAGGGAATGGTTCATTCAAATAACATTCCATCAGGGAGAAGCCAATATTTCTTCTGGAGTATAGGAATACATAACCTGGATAAGACATTTAATGCAAGCAAACAAAAGCATAACCAGAAATCAATCTTTTGATTTCACTTTCATGTTACATTCTGCAGTATTTAAAAACATAGAGAAATGAATAACATCAAAAGTCAGGCCAAATTACTTTTTTTTACAGTGTTGAAAGAATTAAAAAATAAAATAAAGCAGGAGGAAAGAGCAGTAAAGAAGCAGTACAGAAATCCATCCTTTAAAAAACATCTAACCCCCACCCCCACCCCCCCCCCCCCGCAGATTTTTGTTTGGTGAAAGGCAAAACTATTCACTGGGGTGTTTCTATTGGCATCGTCCAAAAGGCTTCTGATGAATGCCTATTCAGCATTTGAGAACTGCGGAAGACTTTGAATTTTTACTTTATGATATGATGTCCTAAAATGGATTTTTCAATAGCATACCCTCTTCCTGGGATAACCCATCTTTATGTTTAGGCATGTTCTTTTATATATATAACATCACACAAAACACAGCATCATAAATAGAAGAGTACAGCACCATCCTCCTCTAAGTCTGTAGTCAAAATAATAAAAAACACAACCTTCCTTGCTTGGTTACCTCATTGGAATCAATTCCATTATTGACAGACCATGTGGTTTGGAAATATTCAAGCATCCTTTGCTTTAGCTGCTGTGGCAAGTGATGGACCCGTATAAAGTCCTTCAGGTCCTTGGTTCTTGTGTGATAAAGGGACCATCTGGAGTACATCCTCTGAATAATGGCAGTCACATTGCCAAACACCAAGGCATGCATCAGAGCTGGAGGAGGACAGAAATTATGTGTAATGTGGTGACTTGTTGATCATTAAAACATAACACAGAAAATAAATGGGATTTTCACAGAAAATTGATTTCCTGATTGAGAGATTTAATAAAGCTTTTGAATATAAGACTCCATGATTAATATACAGTATTATTCATATGATTTTTCATTTCCATTTTTTGTGTCATTAGCAGTCACTGCCATGGGATAGGATGATATCTAGTCAGGGTACCAAGCAAAAGCATGCCCAAGACAAATTAAGTTCATAGTCTAAATAAAAAGGAGATCAGATGAACCCATGTGGGCAGGCATGTTCAGGAAATAATGAGAAGCTACTAATCGAGACGAAAACTAGACTCAAATGGTCAGTTGGTAATTGCACAGAATGTAACAGATTTCCAAGAATCGTATAAATAAAAATGATTACTAGCAGTGACCATGTATAGCGGAATGAGGTTGCAAACATTTAGAGCTCTATCATATTCTGTGGAATAAGATGTTAAAAAACAAAAACAAAACCCCAAAACATTGTAGACCAGAAATTCAATTAAAAAAAAAAAAAAATCAATCTGATTTCTTATGTTGCTTGCGAAGGTCAAACATGGTGTGAAATTGTTTATCAAAAAATTCTGACATCCTGAGTTTGTCTGCAATTAGAGACTGGCCTGGGAATAAAAACAGCAGAAGCAAAATTGAAGAAATGCTTACAGATACAGGCCATCTGGGTTTGTCTGTGCAGAAATGTGCTTGCTGATTATGAGTGGAAAAAATCACATGCCTGCCATGTGGTATTGATCTGAGGTATCTAATATAAACATTTACAAATTGTTTATTGAAAAAACTATTAGGAGCTTGATTATTACTCTCAAGGGACATCTATCTTTATATTGCTTGAAAGAAAGCAGACTCCTCAGAGTAGCAAAAGATTTATAAACAAGACAAAATGTTGACCATGTATGGCGATTTAAAGTCCAGTGTAAGTGAGGAGAGACTAAAGGGAATAGGAGGAGGAAAGGATACATTCTGGTGGTTGAAAATTCTTTTAGACGGTACAAACAGGCAGAAAATTCTTTAATTTGGGGATATCACATCTTGTTCACTGGACTTTCACAGGTATAAAGTCACTCTTCTACCTGCTTGCCTATGAATAACTTTGCCTTTCAGTTTTCAGTTCCTTCTATGCACACTAGTCAACGAGTTCTTCACAGTTGTTCAGTTCACCAGCATATCAGAGCTACCACTCAATAATATAAGTGAAAAAGAAATTGTTATAACTGGACTAAAAAAAATATAGGCTACTTTTCTATTCTGCTCTATTAATTTTGTGAAAGCTCTGCCATATCAAATTGAATTAAATATTCATTATTGTCTTATGAAAGATATCTCTTTATTCCATGAATAAATGGAATACTTACTGAAATGAAAAACCCTTCCCTCATTCCAACAGATTTTATGTAGTGAAAGCCCCAAAACACAAAGACCACATTGTATTTTAAAACTATAATTTTATGCTACCAGCAAGAGCAATTAATAAGCTGCTTGTGGTTTTGTGACATTGTCAAAATCAAAATGTTATAATTCTTGTGTGATCCGTTATATTGTTGTGTGATCCATTATATTACATTTTCAGGACTGGGAAAACTGACAGTAATTCATTGAGCACTTTCTATATCACTCGATGCCAAAAATACATAGTTTATGGGTCATTCATTGTATTCCAGCTTGCAAGTGTCAAGTTACCAATTCATTTTTTGACCAGGAAAATTTATGCTGCAAAGCTGACAACCAATGCCTTACTGACTACTGCTGCAGAAATACATACTAGTGTTTCCAAAGCAATTAGGAAGCAGAAAAAATATGGAAGGGGGGGGGAGTGGAGTAGGAAATTGTGGTTTGATTTTACCCTTCATGCCCACTATGTCATCTTTGGATAGTATGATGTACACTCTATGAAATAGCATTGCTGATTTTTTGTTGGGATAAAGGTAAAGAGAGAGGTGCAGGTACTTTCTTTAGTGGTCTTGGTTTACACCAAGCTCTGTAGGTGCTACCAGCTCACTGGTTGTGCATAGGTGCCTCAGCAGAAAAGAGACCATAAATGAGCACTTGGCTTCCCCCAGCAGTATGTCTAGGTAATTAATATAAATGCTACTGAGCTCCAAATAGGACAAAAACATTGCATTTTGATTCTAACTGGAACAGTGATATGGTAAATGTACTTCATGATAATAACAGAGATTTTTGTTTATGGTAGAGTCACATATAGCTCACCAAAAAGTTCTCCTGTCTCTGTTGCCTTCTCTCTGGGCTAATCCTACACATGAGTATATGCACCAGCTTACAGCCAGATTCACTGGTGAGCTGCCCACCTCCCCATGTCATCATTCCCAGGGCTGCTGTGGGGACAGAACTGGAGCTGAATGTACACCAGTTTCCTGGCTGACTGAAAGGGTGCCTGACACATAACCTGATAATAATGTGAGTTTGCATTTCACAGAGTGGCAACTGTCTTTTGTCACCTTAAGTGATCAAATGGTTAGAAATAGGTCTGCTTAGGAGAGTTTGCCTTGTGTAAAATCAGCTAAGTTATTTCCTTCTTTTGGCATTTTAAATTAAACTTTCTGGGTTTTTTTTTTGTTGTTGTTGGGTTTTTGGGGTTGGGTTTTGTTTTTTGTTGTTTTTTTTTTTTAGAAACTTAACAACATTTCAACATTAATTTTACTTGTCAATACCTCCCCAAGTGTTTTAACTTGATGTATTTGTACTTACCCCCAATAAGCATTGTGCAAATGGAGAAGATCTTTTCAGCATCAGTATTGGCTGAAACATTTCCAAACCCAACACTGGTGAGGCTGCTGAGAGTGAAATATAGGGCAGCTATATAGGCACTTCTGATTGATGGGCCTCCTAGTGTATTATTCTCATAGTAAGGAGACTCAATACGTTTTCCTAGCTCATGAAGCCAACCTGAAAAACAAAGCATAAAACGAAATATTAAGGAATACTGACACCATGAAAACCACATATTCTGTAAAACAAAGTAATTTTAAAAAAACCCTTTATTTAAAGACAGTGCATTCTTCACACAATTTCAAGACTAAAGAGAATATTGAGCTGTAGGAATTTATGCAGCATGCTAAATATTGTGTCTCTAGAGTATTTATTTTTATGCAAGATTATTTATAAGAACTTTATTTCTGTATGGAAATCAAGAGTTTTTGAATTGCATATTACAGGTCTAATTAGATAATTCACAAGATCCTTATGCCACTGAAAGATAAAAATCATCACCTAATAACATTGCAGCAAGAATGCAATATTGATTTGGTTATTTCCATTAATTAATTCTTGGAAAGCTTTTTCAGATCCCAAGACTAATTTCTTATAATAACAATTACATATGTAAAGGTTTTTGCGTGTCTCTTTTTCAACAGAAAAGATTCAAACAACTAAATATAACTTACAAACCAGAATTAATTTTTAAAAATGCATCAGTAAGTTTTTCTAAATTGTTCATTGAGTCTTATCTTTAATTTTGCTAAATGCCTCTATGTGTGCTACAGAAAGTATAATTAGCTACTCTCTCATAGATATTAGAAAAACAAAACCAAACCAACAATAAAACCCAAAGCAATAAACCAGGAAAAATATGAAGCGCCTGGTTCTGAAAAGGGAACTAAATAACTTGAATGAATCTCATAAACACAATGCTTCACAAAAGTAAAGATGGGGAGAAAAAAAAACAAAGATAAAAATCATTCCTGTGCTCAGTTTTGCCTGTTCGGTGGTTTGCCTGGGAGACTGAGAATCTTTCCTGGCTGTTCAGGAAGAATTGACAAAACAAAATATTCCTGGCTGAGTTTTATTTCAGAATACTGGCTGGAGGTCCCCCTGTTGTAAACTGAGACCTGATAGACTGAATCATAGAATAGTTAGGGTTGGAAAGGACCTTAAGATCATCAGGTTCCAACCCCGCTGCTGTGGGCAGGGACACCTCCCACTAAACCATCTCACCCAAGGCTTCGTCCAGCCTGGCCTTGAACACTGCCAGGGGTGAAGCATTCACAACTTCCCTGGACAACCTATTCCAGTGCCTCACCACCCTAACAGGAAAGAATTTCCTCCTTATATCCAATCTAAACTTCCCCCGTTTAAGTTTTAACCCATGACCCCTTGTCCTACCACTACAGTCCCTAATGAAGAGTCCCTCCCCAGCATCCCTGTAGGCCCCCTTCAGATACTGGAAGGCTGCTATGAGGTCTCCACTCAGCCTTCTCTTCTCCAGGCTAAACAGCCCCAACTTTCTCAGCCTATCGTCATACGGGAGGTGCTCCAGTCCCCTGATCATCCTCGTGGCCCTCCTCTGGACTTGTTCCAACAGTTCCATGTCCTTTTTATGTTGAGGACACCAGAACTGCACACAATACTCCAGGTGAGGTCTCATGAGAGCAGAGTAGAGGGGCAGGATCACCTCCTTGGACCTGCTGGTCACGCAGGTCATCTCCTGATGCTTATTCTCTCTCCAATTTAGTCAGCATCCATTTCTTCACTTTGGATGAATCCAAATATGAACTGGGGGAAATCCCCCTGTACAGAATACCTGCAAAAGTAGGGGGCAGATTTAAAGCATCACTCCCAACACTTTTAGTTGTGTTGGGGAACAAAATCTATAATTTACCACTTACAGCAGACTTGTTGAGCCATGGCTGCTACCATCCTCCATACTCACTTGCATGCTCTCCTACAGAAAAAGCTAAGCCAGAAGGGCTGAGCAATAACAGTGTAAGGTCTAGCACTGGGCCTGCTGCCCCACTCTGTGCAGGACAGTGAATTTAATTCAAAGCATAAGTGAAAGTCCTTTGCATTGTCATAAGATGACAGTACTGAGCAGGCTTGTTTACCTTACCAACAGTCAAGAAAACTTAGTAAAATCTCCTTGACTTTACCTTCATAGAAAGTATTAATCACATGAGACAATTTTATTATTGTGGCTAAACTGAAATAAATGAAAGAAAAGTAAAAAAAAAATTAAAAAAATCACCAAACCCAAAGCCTAACTGAACCAATACCAGTCCTCTCTCTGTGCACTACTGTTTTCCTGAGATTACATTACAGTTCCTCAATAATAATATGAACTTTTGTGCAGCAGATTTCATTCCTATGTTCATGTCAGGTAATGTAATCCTACACATTAAAGAACAAAGAAAAAAACCTACAGAAATCCCTGGCAGAGAGCAGATAGAGTTGAAAAATTCTATCTAAGCCTAACGCAGAGGAATAATAATCATAATGTTTCAGCTTCAGGTTTTGAAAGTTTCTTGTTTATGAAGAAAGAAAAAATCAAAATCACAATAAAATGAAATTTCACAAACCTGAAACAAATTCAATATTTTAAATAACTGTAACTGATGTGTGACTACTGAAATAACACCTAAGAGAAAATCTCCTTCTTGCAAGTGTTCTAAAAGCTAATTCCTTGCCTTTGTATTCCCATGTTTCTGCCTTTCGTTATCTGAATGAAGCTCATATTCATTGTTTCTGATATCATATTGCCTCAGATTGCAAGTTTCTCCACCTCAGTTTCAGCTATCAAGCAAATAAACAAAGCAGCAATAGTTTAGCTATTGTTACTTTATATGAAACATTACAAGCCCAATTTCAGACTTATATATTTCCAGTGCTAACCAGAAAAGGTGGATGACTCCATTCTTTAATTGATAGATGGTAAACTGGTTTCTCCTTTACTGCACATTTTCAAGATTATCAAGCAAGACACCCAACCCTACTGAAACATAATTGATAAAGGATGCACTGTGGCTAGTACAGGTAAGGTACAAAAAATATATACTTACATTGTATCAAACAGCAGAAGTCCCTATATTATCTATAATATTTCTTATAATTCTGCCACCAAGTACCAAATGGAATATTAGCATTTTACAGTTGCTGACAAGCACACCTGACCAGGGCACCAGTATTTGAAAAAAGATAAGCACTCAGCCCAGTTCTGTGGCATAACAGGGTGAAAGAAATTATCTTAGTTATCTTAGTCAGTAAGATGAATGGCTTATCACAGAGCTATAACAGTAGCAATCGGTAATTATTAGCAGTTGTTAAAAAATGCAAAACCAAATTCCCACTATGTAAGGAAAAGCTATTAGGTAACTTTCTCTAGAAATGGACCACGAGATTTGGAGCGGAAAATGTGCATTTGAAAGGGAAGACCCCCAAAATACATTCTTCTGATTTGCAGATTACAGCTTCTTATTTCTATTTTGGCTGTTAGAAATGATCCTAATCAGGACCTTTTGAAGAAATTATAGGGGTTGAGATTTCAGCCAAAATACATAAAATGGTACAAGATTTTTCAAATCAACTGAGTTTCTCAGATTTGTGTTGATAGTACGTTTTTTTTTCTCTGTTTTGGGGCACAGATGAGCTACTCTTGGCTCTAAAAACTTTCATTAGCCAATGGAAATAGTTTTGAGGTAACACAACTGACTAATGCCTATTACTTTTTTGGTTCCTGTAGGAAATAGCTCTCAGCAGATTCTCTGGCAAACCTGAGTAATTAATTTTTGCCCTTACAGAAGAAAAGAAAAATAAATATACCCTGTAGTCAGAGGAAGCTTCCTAGAATTTAACATTATTAATATTGGCTGGCTCTGAATTAGTATTATCCAGATATAGCTGTAACTTTGAAAAAAATTTTAAACATCAATTAGCATAATTAAGAGGAAAATTTTTCAAAGGGAAAAAGAGCACTTAAGTAATCAAGTCCTATCAGAAAAGTCAACAGGATTTAGCAGTCTTAGCTCCATTAGGCTACCTTGAAAACTGATGGAAGAATCTGCATTAAGTTTCATCTTATATGTGTATGGGGAATACTTAAGTACCAGGAGAAACATAAACAAGCATTTAAACATCCGTAGATGGCATGCTTTATGACTGGATATAAAACACATTATCTAGTTTACTGGACATCCAGAAACTCAGTCTTCCCTTGGTTTGTTGTTTACATTGCACTGAGCAGGTAAATCACTCCCTATAATGTTCTATACCACTACTTAAATTTTACTTATATGCCATACACTTAACATAATGCTGTCTGGTACTTCAAAAACTTAGAAAATAGTTGCATTTTCTAATACATTGATTACCTGCAGTATTTATTTTATATTTTTTTTTTTTTCCATTTTAAGTGTAGATGAAAACTCACTGGCTTAATCTGCACTATTGTGTCAAGCAGTGCAAAGCTTAATCTGCACTATTTTGTCGAGCAGTGCAAAGAGGTATGGATGAAGAGCATCTCTCAGAGTATCCCTGAATGCCTGAAAGCAGGAACAGTTCCCCAATATATCAGTGACAATGATAAAAGAGAAAGAGTCAGCCAAAACCATTTTCATTAAGGAAAAGATAACAACTATACAAGAGAAACAAGATCTTTCACCACTGGATTGCATTTTAAAATGAAAACCACCATGTGATCTGGGAGTTATGTTGATTCCCACTGCAGCAGTCCCTGGCTGCTGCTGATAGCTCCTCATTTTGGATCTAGAGTCTGGCAGCAAGAAGCTGTGGGTTTGCAGAGGAAGTCCCACTACTGTTTCATTACATAGCTGCACACTCTGATCTGCCAATGATCGTCTCATATTTACATTTTAAATGGGGAAAACTGTTACAAATGTCCCACTAACCTCAATGAAGCAAAGATTTTAGCTTGTATCTCTCTTCTAATTCCTCGGAATATTAACCTCCAGAAAATGAACCTTAGGGCACAACAGTTGCTAAGTTAGAATAATTAGGTGAATTCCCTTCTTTATAGGTGAAAGCACTCATGATTACAAGTCTCTGTGAGATTTTAAACGTCCAAATTTCTTCCATCAATTGTCCATGTTGCTTCTTCAGAACACATCATAAAAATCATTTAACAGGGGGAAACGAGAGCTGATATTGTATATGAGGTA